CCAATGTAAATTAAACCGCACTGGCAAGGAATCCTATAAATACCCCAGGAATTCATATCCGGAATGGGGTCCTTGAGTATAGAAGTTGGATTTTATTGATGGGAGAGTAAACAAACCCGAAAGTTAAATTTCTGCAAAATATGTGCAACTTTATAGATAATTGATGGAAAGAAGGGAATGACAACAGAATTTTTATAATCTCCTAAAATAAGAGTGTGGCTTTTAGTGTGTTGAGATGAGAATAAATATTACAAGCAAACTGAGGGATTAGCCATGGGAAGCCCCCTCAGTCCCATCCTGGCTGATATCTACATGCATTATTATGAATCAAAATTGTTTGAAACTTTAAACTTCCCGGCATGGTTCCGCTACGTAGACGATACTTTTACCCTGTTTGAAGGTAATAAAGATGATTTAAATAGAGTTCTTTCAACAATGAATTCTATTGATCCTGCTATTCAGTTTCACTTTTGACTTGTAATTCTTCTTCCGTTTCTCGACATTCTGGTCACACGCAACACATCCAACTTCAGTACTACAGTTTTACCGTAAACCTTCATCGGTTTTGCCTTCCACACACTTTTAAACCATGTCATCCGACTAAACAAAAGTTAGCTTCATTTTATTCCTATGTTTTCCGTGCTCTTCAAGTTTGCTCCTCCAAACTAGCCCTTGATGAAGAGAACTAAATATTTAAAAGCAATAGCTATTGACAGGGGCTTTTCACCCAACATTACTAATCAAGCAGTTTTAAAAATTCTCATCTCAACACACTAAAAAGCCACACTCTTATTTTAGGAGATTATAAAAATTCTGTTGTCATACCCTTCTTTCCATCAATTAGCTATAAAGTTGCACATATTTTGCAGAAATTTAACTTTCGGGTTGTTTACTCTCCCATCAATAAAATTCCAACTTCTATACTCAAGGACCCCATTCCGGATATGAATTCCTGGGGTATTTATAGGATTCCTTGCCAGTGCGGTTTAATTTACATTGGCCAAACTAAGAGAGCCTTAAAATTTCGCGTCAAACAACATGAGGCATATGTTAGAAAAAAGGAAACACAGAAGTCTTCTGTTGCTCAACATTGTTGGTCCGAAAATCACACTTTCAATTTTTCTGCTGCCAAAATTATTCAAAAAACATCTTCCATTGGAGAACTGGATTTTCTAGAGGCATTTCACATTCATAAAAATCTTTCTGTTCTAGTTAACGATCCTAATTCCAATCCAAATTTGCCTTCGGCTTTTAGAGAAATTATGTTTTAGTTCTGGTTTCGCCAACAGATGGCGCCACTTGCTTATTCTTGTACAGGCTTTCTTATCTTATCTAAACATTATTTCCTATCTTGTTCATTTGCGGTTTTGCAGCTGAAGATGATGGTTCGGTAAAACCATCGAAACTAGTCCTGTGAAAATTTTGTAAATTAACGCTGATTTTTGTTGTTTGACTTCTGAATTAGTATTTACTCGGCGTGTTATTGTGTCTTAATTATAGAAGCCCCAAACAGGCTTACATTTTGCTTTCTTTTTTGCACGTGGTGTGGCCGCCATTTTGTGATTGTAGAGAGTTTCGGTGAGTACATTTTTGCAATTTTCAAGTTATGTTTATGTTTTGTACATTTGGATATTGTGCTTTGCTTGTCTGATTTCATTTCAGCATTTTGCTTACAAACATTTTGTTTTCTATTCATTTCAGTGAGGGATTTTTCTGTATTTTTTTGTGTACTTTATTATTGCTCAGTTAATTTAGTTTGATTTTTGCTTATTATTGCTCAGTTAATTTAGTTTGATTTTCTGCATTGTTTATCATGCCTTTATCCGTTAATCGTTTCACTAAATTACGCCTGAAACGGCAAAAAAAATGAATCCCTGAATCATCTTGACTTTTTACTTAAATGTAAATGTAAAAAATTGATCCCCAATTTTATTCAAATCAAAATCTAAATCAAAACCTTCGAGTCGCGTTTCAAGAATTCTGTTTAAATTGCAAACTTGCCTTACTTCGGTCCGTGATAAGGGATATACACGTCAACAATTGTCCAAAATTGAACATGAACTCTATAAGCTTCATCTGGAACTCGCTAACTAAAACATATCCAAAATTCACTGCCCTTGAACAAAAGTCTTCGTCTAGAACGGAGAATGCAGTTAAACCGTCATAAAAAACAACCCTAGCAGTTTAAATTCGAAAAACTTCTTTTACAGTCTTCCAGTTCAGTAGTTCAAAAAATCTTCCCATTGTAAACATCAAGCCAATAGTTATATATTTCTAATGTTAGTCTTTCAGAAGAACAAGAGAGAATTCTAAAATATAATTTTAACTTCTCACAAACCTGTAAAACCCTCGATTCCAAAGATTTTGGCTCCTATCGAAAAAGCTTTCAAGTTCAGTAAAGTTCAGATTCACAGAAAGAAATGATTAGGCATCTTTATCGCTCATAATGTGAAATTCAATAATAAAACCTTTGAAACCAAATCTAACTGCGAGAGAGAAGAGCTACAATGCGCGAGATTCATTCTAACCCGGATATTGTCATTTCAAAGGCTGACAAAGGTGGCCAGATAGTCATCATGGATAAGAGCACTTACATCGATGGTGTCACTAAACTCTTAAACGAAGGACCATATAATCCGATCCCTAAAGATCCTTCACCTTCGGACTTATCCAAAATAAAAACTGCGATCAAATCTTCGCAAATCATTTCAAGCAACTTAAAACATTCGCTTATCCCATCTGTTGCGAATTGTGCCAGATTATATGCTCTTCCCAAAATTCATAAAAGTGGTATTCCTTTCCGCCCTATTGTATCAAATTTAGGTACTGCCTCGTATCCATTAGCTAAATATTTAGTTTCTAGATTTTCCACTCTATTAGACAATAACATTTACACCATAAAAAATTCAATAGAGTTTGTAAAAAAGGGTTGTTAAAAACATTTCTCCTCGTAATTTACTCATGGTTTTTTTGATGTAAAATCATTATTCACCAATGTCCCAGTGGAGGGTGCATTAAGATGTCTAGAAACCAGACTTCGCGAATTTCATTTCTCTTGCATCGAAATTGATGAGCTAATTTCTCTCACTCAACTCTGTTTGAAACAAACACATTTTGTTTTCCAAAATAAATATTACAAGCAAACTGAGGGATTAGCCATGGGAAGCCCCCTCAGTCCCATCCTGGCTGATATCTACATGCATTATTATGAATCAAAATTGTTTGAAACTTTAAACTTCCCGGCATGGTTCCGCTACGTAGACGATACTTTTACCCTGTTTGAAGGTAATAAAGATGATTTAAATAGAGTTCTTTCAACAATGAATTCTATTGATCCTGCTATTCAGTTCACTTTTGACTTGTAATTCTCTTCCGTTTCTCGACATTCTGGTCACACGCAACACATCCAACTTCAGTACTACAGTTTACCGTAAACCTTCATCGGTTTGCCTTCCACCACACTTTAAATCATGTCATCCGACTAAACAAAAGTTAGCTTCATTTTATTCCTATGTTTTCCGTGCTCTTCAAGTTTGCTCCTCCAAACTAACCCTTGATGAAGAACTAAATTATTTAAAAGCAATAGCTATTGACAGGGGCTTTTCACCCAACATTACTAATCAAGCAGTTAAAAAATTCTCATCTCAACACACTAAAAGCCACACTCTTATTTAGGAGATTATAAAAAATTCTGTTGTCATTCCCTTCTTTCCATCAATTAGCTATAAAGTTGCACATATTTTGCAGAAATTTAACTTTCGGGTTGTTTACTCTCCCATCAATAAAATTCCAACTTCTATACTCAAGGACCCCATTCCGGATATGAATTCCTGGGGTATTTATAGGATTCCTTGCCAGTGCGGTTTAATTTACATTGGCCAAACTAAGAGAGCCTTAAAATTTCGCGTCAAACAACATGAGGCATATGTTAGAAAAAAGGAAACACAGAAGTCTTCTGTTGCTCAACATTGTTGGTCCGAAAATCACACTTTCAATTTTTCTGCTGCCAAAATTATTCAAAAAACATCTTCCATTGGAGAAACTGGATTTTCTAGAGGCATTTCACATTCATAAAAAATCTTTCTGTTCTAGTTAACGATCCTAATTCCAATCCAAATTTGCCTTCGGCTTTTAGAGAAATTATGTTTTAGTTCTGGTTTCGCCAACAGATGGCGCCACTTGCTTATTCTTGTACAGGCTTTCTTATCTTATCTAAACATTATTTCCTATCTTGTTCATTTGGGGTTTTGCAGCTGAAGATGATGGTTCGGTAAAACCATCGAAACTAGTCCTGTGAAAATTTTGTAAATTAACGCTGATTTTTGTTGTTTGACTTCTGAATTAGTATTTACTCGGCGTGTTATTGTGTCTTAATTAAAGAGAGATGATATTTGCAATCTTGAAGTACTTTTTTAATAATGCAATTTTCGAAAAACATACGTATTTTTTTTTTTAATATAGTGCACAGAAAGAAAATTCATTGCTAATTCGAATACTAAAAGATGCTATGCACCAATTCACATACATTTTCCAACTGCAGCACTTAACGAACGTTTTTAACATAGAGTGTAAAAATACCGTCATTAGTGAACGGCATACAAAGCACTTTTGCCGCCCGCGATGGATATTTTCCTAGCCTGATATTACGCACTAACACCAACGCATTTACACCCCTCATTACACTTGTACTTTAATTCAAGTAACGTTTCTTTTCGCCTAAAATATCAGAAACCTCAGTCTGTTCTATTCTGTTCAGTCCCATAAATTGGTTCTTTATTTTCCAATTTATTAAAAATTTTCTGATGCTATTATAAAATGAAGAGCAGTTATATGCAGTTTATAAAATGAAGTTTTAATTTCACCATTCCATCCCCGCTAACTGTCAGAAGCGAGTGCAAGCTTTGGAAACTAATTTTTACTGAAGGATACAAGTGAATATTAGTAATCATGTTTACTATAACTGACATGACGAAGGAGAACAAAATAAAAATTTTACTTACAGATCAAATATTAAGTAATGGTATCCTTCCTCTTGTATACTGTCATGTAACCGAACTGCAGAAGAGAAAAAAAATATTATTTAAATTTCACTCAAAAATAATAAAACTAAACATGCGGTGACATAAATATTCATGCACAAAATTTTTCTCTTTCTTCATACACACACATACATAATTAAAAGTTTCAAAACAACCTGAAGATATGAATCAATTTTTCATACTTGAGGTATCTGATTATTCCTGTATTCTTAAAAAGCTAGCTACTTTAATATACGTGGTATTACCTTGCTAACAACATAATAAAGCAATTTTACAAGGAATGAGAAAATCTATTATTACTAGTAACAATATGATTTATAGATAAAAATAGTGCTTTGTGAAAACCTTTATTGGATGATTTAAAATGGTGTCGGTGTTTCTATACAGCTTATCTATCAATACTTAAGAATAACAGTTTAAAAAAAAATCTACATTAGAATATTCATATTACGTTATTTGCATGATGGTTTAGTATGATAAGATCCTGTTTTCAATAAATTTCCTTTCTTTTGTTTTTTCCTTCATATTTATTATAACTTCTTTCGGTATTTACTGTAGTGCCGTTTGTATAGCTTCATTTCCTTAAATGCGTTTCCCTCAGTTTTCCTTTCAAAACATCTCCCACATAGAATATTTCAAATATCTTTACACTCGCCACTTTTCTTACGTTCATGTCTTTAGGAACATATTTGGAATTGCTAAAAAAGTATCGTTAAGAGTTATGAGTTCAAAAGGATTATGATGTCTGAGAATTTACATAATCTGATGCAATTTCGATGAAATGAAAGAACTTCAGATTTAATCTTTCGTTGACAATAAATGCTCATTCATAAGTAAGAAAACTATGGCTAACTTTCAAGAAATTCGAGGTAATTATTTTAATGCCCATGAATGACTAAAAATATCAATTTTCACAGCTATATTCGTGACCAGAATCAGTTGAAACTGATCGCTAGCATTTTGGATACCATTTAGCAGTGATTAACATATGTTCAGATGCTTGCACTCCACACAGCCACAAGTTTCAAGACTAAATTCGTAAAAGGAAATTACAAGGAATACGTCTTTTAACTTTCGACACGCATATCGTCCATAAGATTCCGTTCAGACGGTGGTATAAATGTCATAGCGGCATAGTTATAAGGCATAAAATGCGGAAGTTCCGTTCACACCTGCTAGACAGAGTCTAAGCCGTAACAAATAAACGAAGTTAAAATTGAGCATGCGTGGATGTTTCTACAGCTTTCTCACTCTGTTTTCCTGCTCATAAGTTTCCACGCGTTCGCTCTGATTGGTTCGACTCTTAGCCAAGCCGGGGTACAGTTGAAAACCTCGAACTTTATGTCAAAACCCCTAAACTAGTTATTATGACGTAGCAAGGTCAGGTTACCTAGCAACGAAGCTCAGCTTAAAGAAGTTATGACATTTATACCACCAATCTGAACGGAGCTTAAGTGTACATCTGTAGTCACATTCCCTTAGTTTTAAATGCCTTCAATTAGAATAATCTTTAGTTATATCGTTAGGTTTTCCTGAATGTCTCAAAATGTTTTCAAAATGCTGCTTTTTAAAGTGAAATTCCATTTTCTGGAACGGTAAACAGTTCCTAAGTATTGAATGTGGCACACAGAAGAGTTACGCTTTTCTTCGTAAAAAGCTGCTTGACAACAATTGCGCAGGTGGAAAGAAACTTCACGTTTTCCTGTCTGTGAAATTTAAAAGCCGTAAAAAAAAAAAAAAAAAAATACACAGCGGCTGTATTAAATGCTTAAAAATTCCACATAATTTTTTTTAACAGATTACATTTTAAAGGAAACAAGTTGAGAAAAGTATTAAAAAAACACAGAACATAACATAAGAAGAATAACTACAGTTATTATTTAGTCAAAGAAATAACTAAATTTTGGGAAACGGAGTTTCTACAAAATTTTCAAACTTTCTAGAAAAACCGAAGTATCTGCTCAGCGATTGTCTTTAAATTGTAATTTATTTTTGCTTACTCTACAAGTTATAACTACTACGTATTGATCAAGTTGATTAATAAAATTTAAATTTATTTAATGTAGCATTTCCATATCTTACAACGGTAACTGGTTCTATAATTCTCTGCGATATAATCATAAAACAGTTTATAACCAAAAGACTATGAATGAAATTATTTACGTATATACTTTGTATGTAAACTACTCCCAACCTCTCATATACTACAAATAATATTTAAGTTATTATACATAATATAACAACTTATACGGTGAAAATTGTATATAAAAGATAATGTAATAGTTGCTATGATGTACTGTCAAGGGAATGGGGAATCGATAATCTGCGTATTCAGATTCCAGTACGATTTCTGAAACTGTTTTAAGATAAATGGTTACGACAGCCCCATTAGTTTAAGAATTACCCCGGTGGGAAATGAAGATATATAACTTTTTACCGTAATGGCCGTGAAGACATAGCACAAAATCATATGTTTAAAATAATAATAGTAATTGGTAAAGGAAAAAGCTTGCTATGATATAGAGACTTACACTTCTCTTTTAATAAAAGAAATAACTATTTAAGATATCGCTTTGCATTTTTCACTGGATAAATAAAGAATTAAAGTATTCGCTCTCAGTTAAGCAAACAAAGAATCAAATGAGGACAAACTACCAGACTCAGTCTTCTTATTAATGCTGTAATTATTACTGTTTTTTTATATTTTTATCTGATTCTGTGTCATAACCCTTTCATTGCTTAATTTTAAGCATAATTGTTAAATTATAAGTTATTTTGTATAATTATTTACTTATATGGGGCCGAAGAAAGTATAAGTCAGGTGAAGCGTAAAACATATGAATTGGCTTGAAATGTTTAACAAACACAGAGTTATAAATGAAACTCGTACAAAAATTACATAACTACTGTTCTTTGTTTACTCTATTAGCAGTTGTAAATGCTTCTTTTCTATAATCATACCACCTTTAAAATATATGTGGGAAATATATTCATCGACGACCGACGGTGAGTCATCGAACAGGTGATCGGCCGCCAGCATAGAGCAGTGAAGACGACGGGAACAGAGGCGTTCCCCGTAAGCAAAGCTGATGATCTAACCAGACGATACTCCAGGAGTTTTGCAGGAATGGTGGTCTTCCGGACAAATTGACAATTCGTTTGTAATATCTGAAATTTCTGCCAGAGATGGACTGCAAGGATTGCATGAAACTATGTCATGAACTATGAAAGGACTAACCTTAGTTGTAGAGTTACCAGCAGTAACATTCAATTTCATCATTTATCATCTTAGTAAATTCATAAATAAATAAGTTCAGTTTATTCTTATTTCGTGCTTCATGTGTCCTTAATTAGGTAACCGTACATATATTATCTGTGTATCATATACATAGGCCTTATTGGATATAAGCAAAATTTAACTGGAGATTTTTGATTTTATTTCATTTGCAAAAATTATTAGCTTTCATCTGCAAAAGGTATGAATTATGTGATTACCGAAATAAAAATTTTATTTTCTTTGGTATGTGAAATTTTGTTAATATAAAAAATAACAATGGAAACCAATTTCTCCAGCTGCATTTACAACAGATTAAATACGCATTAGGAAATCCGATTATCTGGATAAGCCTTAACCCCAATTAGTTTAGTTTTACTTAAAATTTTTATGCTTTTAATTCGATACTACTTGACTTTCTAACTATTCTCGCTACTACAACTATTCTCATTCAGATATGCCTGTTTTCGTAAACATCTCTGTTAACAGTTTATCTGTCTGTGGCAAGTCAGACTACCTATGAAGAAAGAAATAATTATAAATCTTAGTTTCTTGATTTGATCTTTCCAATTTTCTCTTTGATTTCAAAGCACTAAAATTCGATGATAACAACATGCATTCAATGAAAAGACTACTCGTCGCCAAATACTCGAGTTTGAGTTTTCGCAGAAATAACTGATATTGAAATTAATTCTCAGAGTTTCAAACTTCATAAAAGCTGCGCTTTGTGCAGTATTCAGAGACAAATAGATAACTTTGGAATTTGGTCACGACAGAATACATTTGCATTAAGACAGAGCAGAAAATTGCGAAAGGAGAAAATCGTTAACGCTTCAAACTCAGCCAGTGTGAGATTCAATCAGAAACAGCATGTTAACTTCCAACGGATTGGAAATATGCTAACAATTGTGTGATCTTCCCCAGCTGATCGTATTAATGGCGAGAGCGAGGGGGAAAGCTAGGATTGGTATTAAGTACGGTATTATAATCCGATTCTCTCCATGGCAACTATTCACTACAGATTTCAGATACTGTCCAAAAGATTAAGATTCCGTGTTGAGCTGCAAGACGAAACTTTTCATTTTCTTAAAAAGCTGGCAATTTAGTAATTAGTATACTCAAGACAGATTTGAAAGGTTAAAACTATGCCACAAAGGGGCTATATCTTATTAATCTGAAACAATTATATGATATGAAAATTAATTGTGGTCTTCAGTATCGGTTAACTGGTAAATAAATTAAAACAATTTCACAAAAGCATTGCCGTTACTAAAATTTTTTTCTGTTTAATATACCAATTGTTCCAGCTGATCTTTAATTTTAAAGATCTGCGGGTTTGTTCTGTATATGCAAAACAACATTCATAAAGAATTTTTTAAATGTCTCGTGAACGGAAATCTGGTATTCGGATTTTTGTAACTGAGAACTTGATTTTAGTAACAGGTTTACAAAGATAAAAACTTACTTTTCAGCATCACTATTTCAGTATTTAATAAGCATAATAATCTCATTCTTGAGACTAATCTCATTTGTCCTATAGTAGCATCAAATCAAGTCCACGAATTTTATCTGGCCAAAAAGCAAGGGTTGCACTTGTTGTTGGCTTAGACTTTGGATATCTTTAGGTGACAGTACGAATTTACATAGCTTTCACACAGTTTTGAAGACGACAGCGGCCTCCCATTCATCTTGCCTTTCCCTCAACCTCTCGAGATGACTTTAGGCTCTGAAGAGTTTTAAGT